GTTTTTTACGCAACTCAAAGTTGTTATCCCTGACGATAAGGATCTTGCGATAATCTCGGACAGACATAAGTCAATAGGGAAAGCAATTGGTGAAGTGTATCCATTGGCTTCTCGTGGAATTTGCACTTACCATTTGTATAAGAACATTTTGGTAAAATTCAAAGGAAAACATTTGTTCCCTTTGGTGAAAAAAGCGGCAAGGTGTTTTAGGCTGAGTGATTTTAATGAGGCGTTCAATGAGACTGAAGCGTCTGATCAAAACCTACATGGATACCTCCAACGAGCTGGTGTCCAAATGTGGACGCGTGTTCATTTCCCGGGTGAAAGGTACAATTTAATGACTACAAATATTGCGGAATCAATGAACAAAGCACTCTCAAAGGCCAGAAGCCTTCCCATAGTTTGACTGTTAGAATCGATACGGACTATGATGACCAGATGGTTTGCTGAACGGAGAGAGGAAGCGAATTCGCAGCAAACAACGCTCTCACGAGGTGTTGAAAAACTGTTACAGGTAACTCAACTGTAACTGCTTACATAAGTCAGTCGTCAAACGTTCATAAACCAGACATTATTTCCATAAATCACACTTAACGTATTTTGTTTTTTTTTTCCCCTCTAATAGGCCCGTGTCACCGCGGCAAGACTTATGGGTGTACAAACGATTGATGGTTTACGCGTGCAAGTAACTTATGGAACACAGTTGCATGAAAGGAGAAACGTACCGTCGACAACAACAACTTTGCGCATGAAAGGAAACCCATCAATACTGGCACCAAAAGCAATGAACACATAGTTGAATCTTCCTTCCTCATCAAGTTGAAGACGCATGACTGTACCCGGATTTGCCCGTCTTATCATGTATAGGTAAGAAGGCATTTCTTCAAAACTACTTGATATGAGTCAAATTAATCCTAAGACTACTCTCTCAAATAAGAGATCGTGTGTAGCACTTTAGGGTCGAATTCCACAAAGCTCTCGTGTTCACACAATAGATTAATAGGTTTTCAATTAAGCTAAACAAGTAAAGATTGCAAATTAAAATAAAACAAGTAATTAAAATCGAGTTTCAAATCATATGGGGAAAACGTCAAGCTTAGGGATTTCTCAGGAAATAAACTAATAGTAAATCTAGCAAATTAATTAGGATTATTTAACGAACCGTTCTTGAACTCAAATCACTAATGAATAGCTAACCACCTCTCGATGCGATAGCTAACAAGCCTAATATCAGTAATTCCACCTCTCGATGCGAATTCCTAGATCTAGACTAGCATTAAATTCATGTTTGATAAGTTCACCTTAGTAGATAGGACGATTCTTATTACACACCTATAAACCAGGCTCATCTAAGGTAGTTCCAGTAACAGGTGCCCTCTCGGATCAAATACCTATTATCCTATAATCAAATTCTAGGTGATCAAGCTAGAATTAGCATTAAGAACAACCTAGATGAAGAACTCTATGGATTAATCCTAACAGGTAATCGATTTACTAATTCATCTAAATCCCTAATGAGAATCCCTAAACCTAACAAGAAAACTACTCAAACATGGAGATTGAAGCAAACAACATGTTATGAATAGAAAGCATAAAGAGATTAAGAGAAGAAGTAAAAGAGTTTAAGAAATCTTCTTTGGAGGAGCTCTCTCCAATTATCTCCCAAAGGGTTCAAGCTCCAAAAATACAATAGAATGAGAATATGAGAGATGTCTCTAAATAAAACCCTAAAATCTATATATATGTTCTTAAAAACGTGCAGGAACTTCTTTGAAAATAGGGAAAAGTTGTGGGGCGATTATGCAAATCTTCATAACTTCAAAAACATGCGAAATTGAATTGCCGTCAGATCTTGGTGTCGACCGACACCAGGGGTGGTGTCGTTCGACACTTGCACGTATTTTCGTCACCGGATTGCTCGCGCAGCATAACTTCTCGGTTTTGCTCCAGAATGATCCATAATCTCTAAATTAGTCCCGAACGTGTATAAACCTGAAAAGACTCAAAAATACACTAGAAACAACAAAAAGACTCTAAAAACAACACATATATCACGGCTAAAATCGGTAAAATCCGTGATATATCATTACTCTCAGAAGTTCCCTGATCGATCTGCCTTGCATACAGGAGCGTCCTATGTGACTTCCAATAACCCATCTCTTGACACCAACATATCGTAACTATAAGTCAGCCGTAATATATATAACTCAGCCACAATGTAAACATAAGTCAGCCGTAATATATATAAGTCAGCCATATTATATCTATAACTCAGTCGTAAACTATAAGTCAGCCGGAATGTATTAATAAATCAGCCGAGATGAGAAAAAGTCAGCCGTATAGTAATCAATAGGTCAGCCGCCACATAGTAATTACCTTTATTCTAAAATGCTTATTGATAACTACTCCGACTGATTTAGGTTTAACATCCGGACCAACGTCACCAAGAAAGTCCCTGTAAAGAGCTCCCAAAACATCAGGTGTTGCTTGTCGAGATCGATTAGAACGTTCCGTCACAGAACATGTGTGTTCCGAATCGTATATACGAACATAAAAATGCGGCTCATCCCCTTGTGTAGATGCACGAACTCTCCATCGACATTCATCAACCCAGCAAACAATATTCACTGTGGTCGGATTTGATATTGGTACGTTAAAATCAAATCCATCCCTTACCGCAAGAAGTTTGAGTCGATACACCAAATCTTCTTTGCTCCGGTATCGTTGTCCTACAGCTAGGTTTAGCGAAGACAACTCCAATCTTAAAGCCTCCGAGTTCCCAGCCGATCCGGCCATTTCAATGTTCTGAGGTGTCTTCTTAGGAGGCAGAGACGGTGAATCTTCGTCTTTATTCTAAGGCTCGCCGTATACAGTAAAGTTATCATCATCAGACGAGGCACCATCAGAGTCGTCGAAAACATCAAATTGGCTTGAAAATTCATCATCTTCTTCTTCGTCATCTGCTTCTTGGTCACCTGCTTCTTCGTCTTGATTTTCACTATAATCATAACAGAAACCTTCAAATCCACCATCGGGAACTTCGTATCTAGATTCTAATTTTGAGCTAGAACTAGATGGCCGTTTCATCCTTCCTCTCGATCTGTTCTTCCGACTAATTTCTATATACTCTTTGACCGTAAATTCCACACAGAGACGTAGTTGATCGATTTTCCGTAGGCTTAGAAAACATTGCAACTGTCGATCATTGGAGACGTAAACTGGTGGAGTATCATGCGACATATATTTTGTAGCCTTCTTCGAGAACATGTAGCTCAGCTTTAACTGATGGCTCAACTCATTCAATCCGTAGTCATCGAGCACCAACTTCACAAGCTTGTCGTGCGTTGTTTCCGCATCTATCTGCACAACTCTACACCCTTTATCGTCGGTGTTAAATACGTATTTGTGTTTCTTTATCCAATTACCGGAAACAACCATTACCGGAACCAGATCAGTCATATCGGGATAAGGAAGAACGAAATTGAAGAAGTAAGACGATGACGAGTCGAGTGAAATTTAAGTTCTGGTGATGTGAAAAAACACAGGTGAAGATCGACACAATGAAGAAGAAGACGAGTAGAAAAGACCTTTCGTATTTCCCTTGATGATGATTACATGGAATGATGACATGGAATGTTGCATCCGACGTCATTTTTTTAATTGATGAAGTGGCAAGTAAGCCACCAAACGAAAATGTTAATCAACCGAATTAAACCAGCCATCAAACAAAACTTTAAGTCAGTCGCAACATGCATACTATTACAGTAATTAAAAAACGAAAAAAATGCAGCCAACTTCAGCCGTTTAATGTCGTAACTCAACCGAAAATCTTTAACTCAGCCGTATCGTTTAATAAGTCGGCCGTAATTGCATGCTATTCTAGTAATTAATCTTTCGCTACTAAGTCAGCTGTAATTAGGCCGCGTTTTCCGTTAACTCAGCTCATTACGGCTGATTTATGACACTCGAGGCTAAATCAGCCGTAACGACATCACATAACTAAGCCGTCTTTGATAACTCAGCCAACCGGAAAAAGTTAACTCAGCCGTGTCGAAGCAATAACTCAGCCAAAATTTTGACAAATCAACCAACGGGTGAAATCTCAGCCGTAACTTAGGCTGGGTTATGCTCGAAAGTCAGCCATTTTCTCATAACTCAGACAGACTTCATTAACTCAGCCGTAAGCCCGTAACTAATGGCTGGGTTATACTCGTAAGTCAGCCGTTTGCTCATAACTCAGCCATATTCCTTAAATCAGCCGCTACTAACCGTAACTCAGCCGTCACTGCCGCTGTATCGCTTTACGGCTGAGTTCATTAATACACGTCAGCGATTTCTGACGTGGCGACGCGACTTTGCTGACGTGGCAATGACATTCTTTGTAATTACGTTTTTTCCTGTAACGTTTAATAGGGGCACGCTGGGTATAAAAGATATACCCGAAATATGATAGTAATAAAAAAAAAACTGTATGTTTCTGGTCATTTCATCTAAAATGTATAACATCTGAGTAACTTTCCCATAAAAATATTAAGAATGATAATCTCGACCGGCAACCCGTGCAACGCACGGGTCCATATCTAGTGATTTAGGTGTTTTGGTTTAATGGTTTTGGTTTTGATTTAACAATTAGAGTAGTTTCCTTTTTACATTAGAACTATGGTTTTGGAGTTTTTCATTTTCTTAATGACGGTTTATGAGCTTGTAAGAAGGGTCTATAAAAGGACTCCTTTACGATGAATAAAAATCCAACTTCCAAGAATTAACCTTAATCTCCAAGAGAGCTTAGGGTTAAGAGGAAGCTAGCTTTAAATCTCTTTGTTCTTTAAGCTTAAGCAACGGGTCCGATAACAAGAGCTAAGGCTAAGGCTAAGGCTTTGGTTCATATCAGTGATATGTTTTATACCTTACAAATCGTTATTATTCCAACTCTGTTTTTATTCAACTCTGTTTCGGTTTTTCATTATTTAAAAGAACTACAATTCAAGCCACAAACTCTATGTAACTTACAATTTTTACTCCAAACACAATCTTCATTAGCATTAAACCCAACACCAGCATTTTGGCTACCTAAAAACACCAATTGGCTAAAACGTATTTTTTCCTACTGGATTATTTCTTATTTTTGACAATCTTTACCAGTGTACTTATTAGCTCAAACATTACAAAGTAATTTGCTTTGTTGCAAGTATATAGAGAGGGGAACATCTGCAAGTCGCAATGCTGACTCTAACTTCAACCAGATGAGTTTCCTGTCATCTTCTTGGCAAAGCTGCTTATGTCAAATGTATCATTGCCATTCTTTGTTATGACCCCCTGCATATACAAACACGTTGAGAGAATCAGATAAATGAGCATAAGAATCTTCCGGTTTTAGTCAATCCAACAGTATAAACAGAACAAGTAAGCCTGGAAAAACGAACCTTCTCGGTTATGATTCCCGCAATCAGCTCTGCTGGAGTCACATCAAAAGCTGGGTTCCAAACTGAGATCCCTGGTGCTGCAATGCGTTCACCAAGTCCTCCATGTGTGTGCAGCAACTCCTTTGGAGATCTTTCCTCTATCACGATTTCTTTCCCGGATGAAAGTGATAGATCAACTGAGGTAAGAGGTGCAGCAACATAAAATGGGATCCCGTGATGTTTTGCACACAAGGCAAGACTGTAAGTCCCAATCTTGTTAGCAGTATCACCTGGAATGTATGAATGAATTGGTTTAGAAGTAATTCAGTCATAAAGAATCAGAATTACAGAGAAAAATGAATTATTTAACGTGTTTGAGCGCACCATTTGAAGCCACGCGATCTGCTCCAACGATGACACCATCTACACGACCATCTTTCATCAGTGCAGCTGCAGCTGAGTCTGCAATGAGAGTTGCAGGGATTTTCTCATGCACTAACTCAAACGCTGTTAGCCTCGATCCCTGTCAATTCTCATTTTTAGTAATTCAAAAGACTTTCAACAATTCAACAGAGATATGGAAACTTTATAAAGCAATGGATCCAGGGAGCAACCACAAGAAGTATCTGTCCTACTTTCCTTCATGGTTTTGAAGCTTTTACCACCGTTTTGATGAACACATATGTCAATATACAGGTAATTATCGTCCCTAACAACTTAAGGTATTCTAGGGATTCTTGTTCTTACTATATTTAAAAAGACAAAGTATTAATATAGGAGTTTTACTTGATTGAATGGACGAGTTTCTGTGCAGTATGCTCTTTCTAAGATTCCTTGAGTATGGAGTGCACGGATGACACCGAGGGCAGTACCATATCCGGCGGTAGCAAGGCTACAGAGACAATAGAACTCGTAGTTAATGCCTTACTAGTAATCTACCACATAAACATAACACCAAAAATCATTACATAACTCTATTGGTTGAAACTGCAGACATATATGTAGTAACATGCCTCAACTTGAGTGAGTTTTGAAGAACATATACAAATGTCTGTGTATCAATGCAATTCAGAATCTATCTAAAGCAATACCTTCCAGTGTTGCAATGGGTCAGAACAGAAAGCTTATCAGCATTCTTGGCTTGCTGCCTCAACAAGCTTGAACCAAAGGTTCCTATAGCTTTGTTTGAAGCAACATCATCTTCAAGCATATCCTCAGCCGCTTCAATATATGCCTGAAGAACAATAACCACAGAGAATGAACTAAACTTACAAAAGCAAAAGGCACATCTTTCTACAGGTAAATGATACAGAAACAAAAAACCTTTGGCTACTACGAAATGTCGCATTACCTTAAAAATAGATTTGGGTTCAGTGGCAATAGCCAAGGCCTTTGCTATAACATGTTTAAGTTTCAATGCAGCATCTGCAAGATTAACTGCTGTTGGCCGGCTAAAGAAGCCATATAGAGAGCAAAGACTTTAGAATCACAGAAATAAGCACCAAGATGCAAATTTTATCTGATGAACCAATCCAAATTCAATACCTTGACACTAAATAATCCAACTTCTTCTCAAGAAAAGCAACAGCATCTGCAGATGATCCATCAAAACCATTAAAGTTGAAAACTTCAACAGCTAAAGAAAGAGCAGCAGCAATAGCTATAGCAGGAGCACCACGTACAACCATTTCCTGAATAGCACTCCTACCAAAAAACATCAAAATTATCAAACTTTTTAACAACAATTTCCCATAAAATCTATAAAGGTAAAGACTTTACCATCCATCTGAAGCATCACGAATCTCTAAGTAAATGGTCTCTAAAGGAAGCTTCCTCTGTTCCAATTCAGACGAGTAAACAGATTGAGAAAAAGTATAAAGTTGAAAACTTTATAGACGTGAAAGAGAGAACCTGATCGAGTAATTGAAGAGAGCCAGGCTTGTAGCATATAGCTTTGAGGGTCGTGTCTTCTCCTTCACTAGACATGGATGGACTTGTGGAGTAATCTTGAAGAGGAATAAGTTGTTTCACAGATTGATTTAGAGAAAGAGGAACAAAAGGAAAAAGATTTGGGTCAGTGACAGTGAGAATCAGATGCATAGAGCACCAAGCCGGCGTGGAACGCACCAACCGACGTCGTTTTCTCTGGAATAATGGATTAATGGGCATGAAACAAACCGGTTTTAAAATTTTGGTTCGATGTAATTGAATTTTTTGTTTAATATTTTTTTATAATTGAATATTTTGTAGAAACATAGTTAAAGAATATTTTACTTTTGGATTCGACTTGATATTAATAGAATTTTGACAATTTATAAGAACAAAGAGTTGTATCCTTCCAAATCATATTTTATGATTGTTAAAAACGATTATAAGTGAATATACTAAGCAAAAATCATTATGAACAAACAAAGTATTCAACATTAAACAATTCTGTTGTATTATTCTACTTGATTACTTATAAAACTTTGTGAGTTGAAAAAAATACACTAAGTAACAGGATGAAACACATTAAAAGTTAAAACAGACCCAAATCGAAACCTAGTAAAACTTTTTAGTTGTTATTCTAACATTTGTGGTCAAGTCCGTTTTTTAGTTAAAGTGTGTAGAATTGGTGTTTTAGGCATTACATGTACAGTATTTTGTTTTTTTTTTTGGCATCAGTTTTATGAAAATGCTTTTAGTGTAATGGTTAAGACAATGAGAAAATGTGTTTATAGTTTTTTAAGATGGCAAGTTCAAACCGAGTAATGGCAATAATATTATTTTTGATTGAATAAATATGTTTATTTATGGACTTTTGCTTTAGGAAACAAAACATTATGGGCTGGTACTGCTTGTGGCAAACAAATAGATAATCTCCTTTAACGTAACATCTCTTTACCATCATCGAAATTCACACAACAAACACAATCAACACTCCAAGCTTAATAAAGAACAATCCTCAAGTGGTTTCATATCAATTCTAACTAAAAACTAAGAGAGGAAAGTCTATATAGATCATTGAACGATACAAATTCTCTTAATGACTCTATAAAACCGAGAGATTACCTAAGAGATGGCAACGAGATCAAAAAAAGATCAACATCGGCATGTGAAGAGAGAATTATAAATCGTTCTGTTTTTAAGAAATAATAAAAAATAGATAATGACATCCGAGAATTTGTCACTAGAATCAATTATCGCCGGAAAACCACTGTGGGTTTCAGTTGAAAGATGCTCTCGGGAATAAGGAGAAGAAAGAACTCTTGACTTCTCTCGTCTAACTAAACTCTCTTTTTCTTCACTCTTACTTATCTTGTACTACTAAGCCCATATCTGAACCCATTCACAGATAAACATTTAGGTAATAGACCTAGGTCTAACACTAATCGAAATCTAACCTTTGAGGTGACTTAATTTGACTTATATGTTCACCAAAACTCATGTTTCATATGCATATTTTCTAATAAAAAAAAAGGTAAAACAAAATTCAGTTTCACCAAATTTTGACTGGTTTTCTTGTAAACCTTTACACGAACATGTAATTAATATTTAACCATTTAAAAAATTAATAATGAAATGTTGTTTAAATATGGAGAACAATTTCTTTTATGCAACAATTATCAAATTTTAATGATACAAAGGTAAATAAAAACTTATAAAAATATATTATTTCATGTTTATATATATTAACAAAAAATATTTTGTAGGTATATCCCATATCGTTAGTTCAGAATTTTTTTTTTTTTTTATAATTTGCATTGACGTGTCATTTATAGTTTTGCACCTCTACCATGTTGACGTATCGATTCGAAAGTGATTATCGGAGAAAGTTTTGGAAAAAATAATATAGAAAGAGATTTAATTACTAGAGTAATTAGGATGTATTCCATTGAATAACAATTATTTTGGATGGTTAAGAATCATATATATAAAAGTTGGCTAACTCTCTCCATATGAGTACCACATCATCACATAAGAAAATGACATGTGTCATTCTATATTATTTAAATAAAAAAATTAGTAAAATTAATTGAGAGAAAATCAAAAGTCTTTTGTTGTGTTATCTCACTTTAAATTGATGTTTTCAAAACTAAAAAAATAAAGTAAAAAATCAGACTAATGTATTAAATACTACTTTCATTCTACTCTTCTTATTTTATTAAAACAATTTTATCAATGGTCATTATTCGATAATGGCTAAAAAATTACTTGTGCTATAGTTTAGAAGTTTGCTACCTAACCTCATATTAATTTAGTAGTTTTACTTTGAATATTTTCTTATTGTTACGTTTTCTGAATATGATTTATCATACGACATTCTCTCTTTTCATTTTTGTGTGTTATTATAAGTTGGTAATATTGACATACAAATTTTGTCACTTAATGGTCTTTTGAAACGTTAGACATACCAAGAAATATAAAACACGAGACTCTCGGTTATATGAAAGGGAAGAGATCTAAAGTGTTGACTTAAATTACTAGCATATCATGATGTGTTTGGCGTACTAGGTGACGAGAGAGTATATGGAACAAAAAATTGTTTGTTTAGAATTTAGTTAGGCAAGTTTCAAACCACATAAGTAGCATAACTACATATACTATTGTATCAATATATCATATATTGTTATTGTATGTATTCATGATAGTGAAAGATTAGGATTGTAGATATATAAATAATCAGATTTATACTTGAAAAACGTAGAATTGATATTTCAAGTCAAAGATGAATCTAATCATAAAAATTATAACTATAGAAAATATATATGAATTTATTAATTACATAATAACACACACAAAAAAATGAACATAAAAAGCAACAAAAACCATAATCATATTTTTTTTTGTAGTTTTCAAAACAAAAACCCACGCGTAGCGTGGATATTCATCTAGTATTTCATAAAAGACAACTAACCATAAAATATTTTAGTTTCTTTATCTCTCTTCTGATTTATCTTATATTTATATCATATCTTTATTTTTAATTATTACATTCTTCTTCTCTTATCTATACTAGTATATTTGTTAGCGGGTGGGTTAAATTATTATCCGACCCGATAAATTTTTTTCTTCATAAATCTTACACCGGATATTCTATATTTGTTTTGGATTAAGTCAAAATATATCCGAAATTATGAATCGGATATTCCATATTTAAAAATATAGATATTTAGAAGACTTAAAAAATGTTCAAACAAAGATGATAGGAGAATTGTATTTTTAAATCTTAAGTAACTTTTTTGAATAATCATATAATACATAAAGTAAAAAAAAAATCTTAATTTTTTTTCTACATATATTGGGATTCAAAATTTTTAAAACGGATATGTATTACCCAATTGATAAAAAAAGTGTGTGTTCAACGTCCCATATCGGCTAAAATGTTTAGATATTGATTCAGAATCATATTATAAATAAGATCAAAATGAATCCAAATCCGAATGAACAAGAAGCTCAAATTAATAATCATCCAAATTTAAAATTATATACAGTTTCATTCGGGGTTTTTAGTTTAACTGCTTAATTTTACTGGAAATGTTAAACTTTAAACTTTTAAAAAGTTTTAAATAATATAATTCATATATTTAAAATCAATAAAAATTTTATAATATTATGGACATTTTAACGTAGAAAAAGAATTACAATAAAACGAGACGGGTTATATTGTTAGACGGGATTATATAACGGGAAGAGTTTTTAAGAAGTTTTAAATATTATAATTCGTATATTTATAATCAATAAAAATTCATATATGAAGAGTTAAAATAACATGGGACGGTTATATTGTAGGACGGGGTTATATTGCAGGACGAGGTTATATTGCAGGATGGGGTTATATGAAGGGATGAGTTTGATCAAAAAAATTTAAAACATCATTAATCTGCTGCTTCAATACGGGTTAAATCTTCATTTTATTACTTTTTTAACACCACCAATATTTAACAAATCGAATGATCCTGATTAAAGTAAAATTATATAAAACAAAATTTGTTTTGTGGTATATCGTTACGTAATAACAATGGTAAACTATAAAATATAAATGTCTTATAAAATAATATAATTTACAAATTTTTATATATAATATATAATCATTAAATTTTAAAAACAAATCATCCCGCGGTGTACCATGGATTAAAATCTAGTTTTTATAAGTAATTAATCATCACATAATTCATAAAGTTGAAAATGCTGATTTTCTGCACATGTTATGCTTCGAATTTAAAAAATCAAGCATAAAACATTCAATTTACAAAAAAATATAAGAACGTATATTAAAATTTTCGCAACGGCTATGAAAAAATGACAGTCCAGAAACATATTATTACAACATGAAAATTATATGAGAAACCATAGGAGTTGGAAATTGATGTTGGTTTTAAATTAAATCATGACCAAATCAAAAACTAGTTTTATCAGTTTATTTTTCTCAACCATACCAGTTTATAACCAATCTCAGAATCTTTAAAATCAGTCTACAAGTTTTTTTATTTGATTGAGAAACAATGAGACAAAAAAAAATTAACAAAACAAATGTTGATTAACTCCAACCGTTGATTAAATGTCGTAGGGTTGGACTGATTTCATGGATTGGTCGCGACTGTTTTTGGAAATGTATTTTCTTGATGGATCGATCCATGTGGTGCTATTATCATAGCTATATCCACTTGTTAACTAGTGTCGACCATCTACACTAAGATATATATTTTTATTTATATATCATTTTAGTGTTATGTCAAATCAAAACAATCGAAATTTTTTCTACATTTGTTTATTTCATTGATTGAACAATCAACTCTTTGTGAAGTTTTACAAAGGTTGACATACCTAATATTACGACAAGGTGTGAATAACAATCAAACATGTAGATATTCTTAGCTACAGTCCCTTAATATGTATTAATGTCTGTACATTTAGTGTTGTTTATTTTGTCAAAGTTCGAATATATATATATATATATATATATGTGTTACAATCATATATTAAAAACATATACACAACGAAAGCAAAAATCATTAACTACTTGCACATGATCATTGAACATTTT